CACACACACACACACACACACACACACACACAGTGTGTCTGCAGCAGAGTTCCCGGCTATAAATAGCCCCTCTGCACTGGTGGAAGGTCCAATATAGCAACAGTTTGGTCTTTCCCGCCTCTCGCAGGTTTCTCCTCTGCAGATTCTACATCCTCGGCCCGTTCCCAGCGTTTCACTCTGATTTAATGAGATTTTAATTAAGATCAAACTTCCTCCCACGCTGATTGATCAGGCAGCTGCAGAACAAGAGGAAGCTGGGAAATAAAAGCTACAAAAAARAGAGAACATTGAACATCTGCAGAACATCTGTGGTTTGATTTAAGGAGAGTTTCAGGGTAAAATACGTTCTTTTGATTTATTCACATTTTCTGTTTCATCAGCTCGAGTTCAGCTGCTTCATATCAGAACGTTCAGCTCATAACAGCTATAAACTTTAGCTTTACTTTTTGAAACATTACATTTTTTCTCTTCAGCTGTTTTGCTACATTTTAGCTTTTTTTTTTTTTTTTTTTTTTTTTTTTTTTTTTAGGTATAAGCAGTTATCTCCAGTTTGGCCTGAACAAGGCTTTAACTACTAGTTTTGTTCATTTCAGTATCTTTTAGCTACTACTGAGCTGATTTTAGCTTTTGTTTTGCTGAAATTAACTTCTAGCAAACGATTTCCTGTTTTAGCTTTTAGCTACTGTTTGCTGAATTTAGCTTTGGTTTCTTATTTTAGGTTTATAGTTTCAGCTCCTATTTTGCTGATTTCAACACCTGGCWTTGGTTTAGCATTTTTAGCCTTTAGATACTGTTTGTGCTCATTTTAGTTGTTTTTAGCTACTGTCTGCAGTTTTAGCTACTTATTTAGCTACTTTAGCTTTTAAGCCTCTTTTGRTTCAAGTCTCGGGTTGGTCCACATTCCAGGTCGGTCCAGAGTTAGTCCTTGTCTTGAGTCAGTCCACATCTCGAGTTGGTCCGTGTCCCAAGTCGGTATGCGTCTCTGGTAGGTCCATATTCTGGGTCGGTTCATGTCTCAGGTCAGTCCACGTCTCAAGTCAGTTTGTGGCTCGGGTCGGTCCATGTCCCAAGTCCGTACCTATCTCGAGTCAGTCCTCATCTCTGGTCAGTCCATGTCTCAGAATGGTCCACGCATCAGGATGGTCCATGTCTGTGGTGGGTCCATGTCTCAGATTGGTCCATGTCTCAGGTTGGTCCATGTCTGTGGTGGGTCCATGTCTCAGATTGGTCCATGTCTCTGGTCGATCCAGGTCTCAGGT